AAAGGTCCATCAACAACTAATATATATATAAACTAATTAACTAATGTATATATATATATATATATATATATTTGTTGTTGATGGACCTTTATTTTATTCATTTATTTATATGTGGTACTGAGAATCAGACCCAGTGCCTCACACATGCTAGGCAAATGCTCTACCACTGAGCCACAACCTCAGCCCTATTTCTTTGTTTTTATCAATATCTACTTTATATAGTAGTTTTTATGTGTAGAAAGTACCTAGTATAAATTGTTCCCAAAACATCATGGTTCTTTATGTCTTAAATTATCAAGGCTTCTTGTTCTCTCTCTCTCTCTTTTTTTTTTTTAAAGAGAAAAACACATAGATGAAGATGTTCAATGTTCTTTCTTCATCCACCTCCAAATTAAAGAATCATTACTTTTCTTATCTGGGTTAAATTTCTCTTCTTATATTATTTGGTATATTCTTAGCAGTAAATGTCTCCCTGCTGCCCAAAGACTCAAAATAAATCACCCATAGATATGTCATACTGCTTGAAATGTGACTAATCCTTTAACAATAATCTCTTTTTTAAAGTGTGAATCGACTAGAAAGTTATCTCCGTGGGGAAAGGAGAAAATGAATGAGGAGGCACTTTGTATCCCATCAGGCCTCTGTGAATGTTGATGGACACTGTATAAGGACAGGAGAGGAGAGTGACACGTGTGGAGTGACACATATAGAGTGACATGTGTGGAGACAGGAAGCCCACGCTGAAGTCCACTTGCTGCTTGTGTCCCCCTGCAAGTCCCGCAGCTTCTTTCAAAGTGGGTACCACCACTAAAATGGGAATTGTAATTTACTTGTTTGTTAAGGCTGTTTGGGAGATTGGGATACTTTATTGATTCAAATATTTTGCAGGATAAATATTTATTAATTAAAGGAATTTGTAAAATGACATAGTATAAAATATGAGATGTAGTCAACCGTTTGCAACCATTTAATCCATAGCCCTGGCTCATGCAAACAGATGGTTTCCATGTGAACCCCACTACCCAAGAAGAGGTAAGATTCTCCTAACTAGAGCTGCTTTTATTGAGGAGATTATGGTCATAGATATGCAGGGATGATTTACATATTGGAAAGAAGTTTAAAGATTTTCCAAATATTCTATGATCCTATGGCATTTCTGGAGAAGAATACACATCCCCCAGAAATTCTGACAGAAGAATGTGTCAGCTCTGAAAAAGCCAAATGAAGTCATGAGGGCAGAAAGGTTTTCTTATTCAGTCAGCATTGGGACAGGATTGATCCCAGTCACAAGTGTCTAATAGTTAATAAAAACAAACTGTTCTCATATTCTATATTTGCAGCTAGATAAAATCTTCACAGCACAAGAATAGGCGTTTGATAGGGATGGGGTTCATGCTACCTCCAAACTTAACAGTAGGAAGTAAATATAGCTATTTATATTTGTGACTTGGACAGGGCTGATGCTTTACTTGGTCAAGTCAGCTGATGCAACTCAACTTGGGTTACCTCCCATTTTCAACTCTCTCTCTCTTATGGCTATTGAGCTGTTGCCTGCAATATCAGTTAGAGGGGAGTCCTGAGATCCTCAGTGGTCTCCATGGGAATTTCCTATAAGCTTATAAGAAGACTTCCCTCACAGCGTTATGGTGGAATTGCCAGAATCAAAGTGAGTCCTAGAGCTTAGAAGTAGAAGGTAGCAGTCTCTAAGACCACTGTTCACTTCTATTGTATCAAGCAGCCATGAAGCTCAGAATCATGGGAAAGAGACATAACCCTCCTCCCCCTCTCAATATGAAGTATATGCCAAAGAATTTGGGGACTTTTTAAAGTTGTTCATGGATATTTATTTATTTATATGTGGTGCTTAGAATCAAGTCCAGTGCCTCACATGCTAGGCAAGCACTTTACCACTGAGCTACACCCTAGCCCCTTGGGAACATATTTTTAAAACCTCTGCAGATAATGCAAGAGGGAACAGAGGGTAAAAGAACATTACGTTTTGGAGGACAAATATGAGTTGGTGCCATTAGTTGAGGAGAGGTTCTCATCTAATTTTCCAAGAAACAAATTCAAAACATTAACAATTGAACAAGTTAGGGCCAATGTAGATTTAGGAGAGAGGAAATGGGATGGCACCAAACACATAATTGTACAACTTTTGAATTTTATTTGGTTTTATCTTGACCAAGGTGGGTCCTGGGTTTATTAATTATGTTCTTTAATCCTAGGGAAATTTTAAGATTTTTCTGTTGCTTCCTTTTCGTTATTTTTCTTACCCTACAAATTAATTACTGAGTGTTTTACAATAGATTTTGCATATTAATAATTATAAATTGAATGTGATTGCTATATGAAAGTATTCTGCAAATACCAAGCTTCCTGTCCATTTGTATAATTCTATACAGATGAAAGTTTCTTTGACATTGTAATCATCTCACTTAATTCTCATACAGTCATTGTGAGGTGAGTTGTTTTCATTAATAACAGTCTTTCCAGATTAAATGGAGAGAAAACCACTTGTACGTGAACCATGCACATTAGTTTGGAGTAAGACAGAGGTCCTCACCTGGTGATGTGCATTTTCCCTTCTGATATACCTGATGAATAATATCACATTTAAATGGCCAGGATTTTTTCCCTGCTTTTATTGCTCTTATTCCTGTGTTTCAGCCAGGAAATGCTCAGAACTGTCTCAGAGGCCTAATTTTTTTTATAGCTTTCCCAATCTGATAGTTGGAAACTTAGAGGGAACATTATCACCAATTTGATAGGGGCCTTTGACATCTGGGCTTGATGAATGGGATTCCACCCTGGGTGAAATGGAGAGGATCAGTCAAATCATCTGCAAACACGAATTTAATTCCCAAACCACTCTAGCAGAGCAACCTAACGTGGAGCTGAAGTTGCAATTTTAGAGACATGAGCAAACTTTCTTCCTCCACCTCCCTCTAAAATCTTTCCTATTAAAAAGATGGATTCTTTCTATGCCATGTTAACTGGTATTTGGAGAAATTGTTAGAGAACCATTTAAAGTTGACACTCTAAAATGTTAAATATCAAATTATGAAACTAGGAAAAAATTAGAAAAACAATCTGATGAAAAGATATTCCAATTTTTAGTATTTAGTATTTTTAAAGTTTAGTAATTATTTAGTGTTTTAGTGATTTCTTGGCATAAAAGCTAAGGAAGAAACTATAAAAAGGATCGACTGATTTAGATTTATAAATTCTTTAAAAACTTCAACACTGAACAAGGTATTAAAAATTAGTACAGCTGGGAGCAGTTGTGCACACCTGTAACCCCAGTGACTTGGGAGACTAAGGCAGGAGGATTGCAAGTTCAAGGTCAGCCTCAGCAATTTAGTGAGGCCCTATGAAACTTAGTGAGGCCCTATCTCAAAATTTAAAAAATATGACTGGAGATGTGACTCAATGGTAAATCATCCCTGGGTTAAATCCATAGTGCTGCCTCCCCCCCAAAAAAAATTAATGCAAAAATAAAGTTGGAAAAACATCTCTTCATTTATGTCAGAAAAAATTTAATATTCTAAATATACTCAGTACTTTTCTACACAAACAGGAAACATTTAAGTTCACCATAGTCCTTTGACCATCGCAGCCTATGGTCACAAGACCAAAGTCGTCATCATCATCGGCAGCAGCAACACTAATCCATCACAGCTGACACTGGACATGTGCTCTTGACCTGGCATTGTTCTAAGTACTCTGTGAACTCATTTAATTTTTCTAAGAAACTCTTGAGAGAGTACAATGGACTGAATGTTTATGCTCTCCCCAAATGTGTATGTTAAAATCCTAACCTCTCAGGTGATATTATTAGGAGGTGGAGCCTTTGGCAGGTGCTTTGGTCAAGACATGATCTCATATAAGACCCTAGGGAGATCCCCTACCTCTTCTGCCACCTGAGGTACTGTGGGAGGATGGTGGCAGTTCAGTGGACCCTCATCAGGCAAGGGCTCTCTTATTTTCCTGATTTTGTAATTATAAATTGGAGATTAAAACAAAAAGAGGTCGCCATCTAATTTGCCCAGCATTATGTGGCCAGGAAATGACAGAGTTAGGATTCAGACTCAGAGTCTCCAGCTTCAGAGGGTGGGCCACTTCATTTCTTCCCTTAAGAGGCAAGAACAGAAGCCTTAAAAAAATAATCAATGGGCTAATAAATGTATAGATGTATGGTCAACCATACTAATAAACTAAAAATTAAAGCAATAATGAGATGTCATCTTTGCTAAATTATCAAGTTTCTGAAAAACACAAACACACAAACTAGCAAACAAGGCAAGAGTGCAGGGAAATGCTTCACCAGAAATAGAATGGGTTCAAGTTTTTAAAAGTTCACAATAAGCCTTCAGTTTAAGCATACCTTTTTTACAGTTTTAATTTAAAAAATTTACTGCAGACAATATTCAGTGATTTACGTAAAACTACATGTTCAAGGATAATCATTACAGCATGCAGTGAGCCTGAGGAAAAGCTCGGGAATATGCATTTTGATAAACTTGCCAGCTAACTCTGGTGTTGGAGGTCAGACTGTGACATAGTGGACCTGCAAAAGTTAAAAACAAACAAAAAACCCCCAAACAGAACAAAAACAAAACAACCTACGAATAACAGCAACAAAACAAAACTTTGCCAGGCATACCAGATCATATCCTCGGCACTGTGATCTTCTCAGGATTGAGTTCCTTTATTATCAAAATTCTGTATTTCGTTTGTACTTGGGGATGATTATATCACGTGCCATACACATACTGTAGTATAGGGGTTAGGAGGAAATCAGAGAACTTTAGAGGGCTGTACATTGTTCAGCGAACAGCCAGACCCTGACCCGCCTGGCCTCAGAAGCCTTTATGTACACGATTGGGAGGTCCCTTGGCTGATAGCTGGTTAGCGCGCATTTGTGCAGGAGGGAACTTTTCGATCACTCCTCGGGGACCCAGGGCGCCCCTAGAGACTGCTCTAGGACACAGGACCTAGTGGAGGGAAACGGAGACGGTGGCAGTGGACGGTGGCGGCAGCAGCATCTCTGGATCTGTTGCTCTCGAGGCTCCTGGGCTGCGGGATCGAGTGATTCTGAGGAGCGCGGGTAGCGGTGGGGGCGCTGGGGCCGCCCTTTCCCGCAGGGGGCGGCGCGGGACGCGAGCGGTTCCACCTGGAGGACGCGACCTCCCGGAGCCACGGGGCGGCAGGACCTGGGAAACGGACCTCTGAAATGCTCGGGGCGCTGGCGGTGCGATCTCGGGCATCCTGATCGGTGGCGCCAGGCTCCGCCGCCCCAGCGCGTCTCTCTCCCGGCCAGAAGTTTGCCACGCGCCGGCCAAGTTGGAGAGTCTGGAAGCTCCAGGAAGAAGCTCCCCGCTTCTGGCTCCTGCGGTTCCGGGCATGGCCGGGCTGGGGGCTTCACCCTACATGTGCTGGTGGCTGATTCTCGGCAGCAGTCTCCTCGCCCAAGCCCAGGTAAGCGCGGTAACCCGCGGCACCTGCTTCCGGAGCCTCCTGCGTTACCAAGACCCAGAAGGCGCACGCGGGCTCTCCCGCTCACACATCCACAAACCCGCACCCGGCAGGTTTGACAGGCAGTTTAGTGGAGCTGCAGGGCGAGTGCTGTCCAGGGGCGCGCACTGATGGGATCAGCATCTTGGCATCTGCAAACTAAGGGGTATTTTTGAACAGCGGAGTTCTGCATCAGAATGCGCAGCTGGAAGGTGAAGGAACTTTTCTTTCTCCTAGACCATGGTACTCGTTTAAATAATCCACATGAGGTTTGGCTGCTGGAAATTTACCATCGCTTTTGAGAACTTAAAACTTCTAGATCCGACTGTGCCACTGTCTGAAAGGATAACTAGCCCTAATACAGGATCACGTACCATTAAAGCAAAGAGACTAGATAGAATAAAACTATAGTGTTAAATGTTAACAAGCAGCTCGGTTGTTCCTGTTAGGAGTAAGTGGTGGTTGTCATTTTCCTCCCGTATTATTGTTTAGGGGTTTGCTGAGTGATCTTTCACAACGGAGCCTCTTTAATGCACAAGGCACGATTCATAGGCACTTTTTTTCCCTTTTTGAGTCAAACCCAATGTAAGGTTTACAGCTTTTCAGATGAGCTAGAAAGAAATGCATGTGGTTGTGGGTGTTACGCAGTGTGAGACCTGTGAATTTAAACGGACTGAAGGTTATTTCTGTCCGATTCGGTAGAGGGCGCATTTGACCGTCAAATGAAGTCCCAACTTTTATTTAAAAAAATCTTTCGTTACAAAATGAAGGCGTTGAGGGATCAATGTATGTTCTGGTATTTTCTAAACTTAAAACTATGTTCTTGAATTTCAAATAACTGGTTTAAATTTTAATCATTATAAATGGTAGTTAAAAATCGACCCATCATGAAATGGATGGCATTAGAGCAGATTATGCTAAGTGAAGCTAGCCAATCCCTAAAAAACAAATGCCAAATGTCTTCTTTGATATAAGGAGAGTAACTAAGAACAGAGTAGGGTCGAAGAGCATGAGAAGAAGATTAACATTAAACAGGGATGAGAGGTGGGAGGGAAAGGGAGAGAGAAGGGAAAATGCATGGAAATGGAAGGAGACCCTCAGAGTTATACAAAAGTACATACAAGAGGAAGTGAGGGGAAGGGGAAAAATAATATAAGGGGGACAAACGAAAGTCAGTAGAGGGAGCAGAGAGAGAGGAGGGGAGGGGAGGGGAGGGGAGGGAAGGGGGGATAGTAGAGGATAGGAAAGGCAGCAGAATACAACAGACACTAGTATGGCAATATGTAAATCAATGGATGTGTAACTGATGTGATTCTGCAATCTGTATATGGGGTAAAAATGGGAGCTCATAACCCACTTGAATCAAATTGTGAAATATGATATATCAAGAACTATGTAATGTTTTGAAAAAAAAAATCGACCCATCATAGTCAAAAATCACATAAAGTAAAACTCAGGAGTTTCTAGGAAATAAATGTCTTGGGATTTACTGGGATTTACCTATCATGAGCAGGATATTTCATGTAAATTTATTTTGTTAAAAATAAAACAATTTGTGTCTCATACATTGATTAATAATATTAGCAAAGGCTGCTTAAAAGGAGGGTACATTCAAAAGTCATCAAGTTAACAGAAGGAATATGAATTTGGAAAAAGTCCCCAAGGATTTGGTGATACATTTTCATTACAGCTATTTAAACTCTGGTGATCTCTAATGTACTACATCTCTAATGTACTACATTTCCTCTCATATTTGGAAAATATGCTTGAAACCACCACCTCTTAGTATAAGGGGCAAATTAATTCTAACCATTTATTTATTTCAAAGTTCTAGATCATTTCTAAGGAAATGGGGAAATATTACATGGTGCAATTAAAAACACTATGGAACCACATATAGAATATTTCCTTTTCTTTTTGCTTTCAATAAAACAAACACTGAACATCTTATAATAACTTTAGATCCGTTTCTTAACTTTGATACTATTGACATTTTGGGCCATGCAATTCCTTGTTTTGGGGTTTGTCTTGTATATTGTAGGATATTTAGTAGTATCCTTGTCCTCTATCCACTAAATGCTAGTGGCATCTCTCCCCTGCCACCCAGTGACAACCAGAAGTGTTTGTAGATGTTGCCAAATGTCCTTGGGTAGCAAAATCACTCCTGGTTGAGAATCATTACCTTACACTGATTGGTATTTAATTATGTTTATAGGTAAAGAATTATATAAAATGGCAATTTGTGATAATGTTTCATTCATCAATTTTGGGGGCTTTAAACAAAACTTGCAGACGTGTTTATACATTCTCTGACCTTCAGTTTCTTCATCTTCAAAAGAGTCACATTGGACTAAGATTCTTTTAATTCTATAATTTTTGGTTTATTACATTAAGTTATAGTCATTATCTGCTTTGAAATTCAATAGCGACCAAACACATTCTGTGTATTATTTACTCCAAGATTTAGTTGCTGATTTTATTAGCCCAAGTATGAGAGACAGGCATTTATGAAAATGTTTCAATTTGCTTTTTAAAAGCACCTAGTTATTGATGAATATTCTCCTAGCTTAAATTATAATGATAGAACACCAAAGGGAACTCACCAAAGCAGAATGAATCTGTGTAGAATAAATACTTAGTATAAGAAACATCAGATCATATGACAAAATAGATGATAGACTAGTGCTCATCAATTGTTTGCAAGACCTCTGTAGGTTTTGGGTGGTAAAGATGCTGCCTTTGCCTCAATGCCCAGTTCAAAACCCAAGCCTTCATTCGTTGTGTGTCAGTACAGAGCCTAGCAATGCATTTCCTGAAGTCAAGTTATCGCATGGGAATGAGGACCATTATATAAATGTGCTTGGTACTTTCATTGTTGTGTGAGTGGGTCCCTCTGGTAACAGACATTGAGATGGAGTTAGGGGTGCAAGAAGTTTGTTGGGGGAGGGGATAATGCCCATGAAAGATAAAAAAAGTGAGGAAGCGGGATGAAGCAGGTATAGCTAGCAAACTGGGACAGTTTCAGCCACGAATGGAGAGTCCTGGGGGCAAAGGTTGCCCATGGGGAGTCCCAGGTTATGAAAAATGGCCAGGTTCTAGTTCCTGAGCTCAGTCATCAGCTGGAGTTTGTTTAAAAGATCAGAGACTTAGCTCAAAAGCTGAGACAGATGCTTTAAAGCACCTCAGCTGGAAGCTCTCTGGGAAATGCTCTCTTTACAGATGAATGACTTGTTCTTTTTGGAAGGAACATCCCTTCTTGACTGCCTCCATTACAAAATTATCAAGAAATAACCTTGGTTTTGCTGGGTTTGAGAGTGGGATGGTTGCTGCATGACTTGGTTGCCTACTGTGGCTCTGAGACAGCGTGAGTGTTGGGAAATGAATGCAAATCATCACTATGACTGGAAAAAAGCACCAGAAGCTCATGATGTAGAGTCGAAGTATGTGATTTTCTCATGGTACTTGGTGTGGGCAGATCCCAATGGGCAGATTTTGGTTCCTAGTTCTTACTAATTTTTCCTGCATGGAGTCCCAGTGCTGCCATGAGCATTCTGGTGCAGGAGAAGGGGCTTTGGACTGGAAACCCAGAAAGCTGCATTTAGATTCCTGCCCAGGTAATACCCAGCCTCCTCTTATGTGCAGCAAGGAGGGTGAGCTCTAATGACCTCTAGAAAGAAGATTCAGCGTCTACTAGAAAGTAAAAAAAAAAAAAAAAAAATCTCTTACTGGGTAGAAAAAAAGGGCAATTCTTCATGCCATTTATTTACTTACCAAGTGCCAAATGCTATACCCAGTACTTTATTCTCTTACTGGATTCTTGTAGTAGCTTTGTGAGGCATGTACTATAATTACTTATACTTTTTAAAATGAGATTACTGTGCTAAGAGATGTTAGTATACTCAACTCACATGCCTAACAGTAGTGTAGCCATGATTTATGCTCTTGCTTCTGTCTTCAGAGCCTAACCCCACTAGGGGTGCCCTTGCCGTGGGGTCAGTTTGGCACTGTTTAGCTTAAGTATGTATAACACATTCTATCACAGCAATACCCACCCCTGGGAATCTAGCCTTTGGAATTTCTCACACAGGCAATGATCATTGTGGCAATTCTATGATGTTAGAAAATTGGGCACAGTCTGAGTGTTTTAACGGTTTATTATGCAGCAATAAAAAGCAATGCATTAAATGTATGCAAACCAGCATGGTGAGATTGTAAGAACACGATAAGATGTGACAGAGAAACAATGACATGTATAACACCATTTCTATACCTTAAAATATATGCACACAAAACAGGAATACATGTTGTGTATACCCATATCAAAGGTGTGTGTGTCTCACCTAAATGTTTGTAGAGAAGGAGGGGGATAGAGATAAAAGGGGGCAAATCAATCAAACAAATAAACTTACACTCTGCACCTCTCTGAGTTTCTTGTGTTAATTGGAAAATGTGGTTATAGATGGAATTACCAACAGGTCATGACTGGTAGAATTAAGCACGAGGACAGTCACAGGACATGGGCATGTCCTCCATGGTTAGCTAAGCTGGGAGACCATCCTTAGCACAGTTAAATGGAAACATGACTGCTGTCACTCTATTGTGCTTATTACTACCAGCACGGTTATAGCTGCACATCCCATACTTGGATTGTTCTTTTTCTTTCCTGTTGACACCCAGACTGTTTCCATTTGTCCTTTAGTTACACGGCAGCATTCTCTTCCTGAAGGGGTGGACTTCTCAGTAGCTGCACTAATTGCGGGTAGTCTCTTCAGTCCCAGTAGCCCACAGGCAGTGGGATTAAAGGGAGCCAGATGTGTTTTTTTTTTCTTGGCAGTACACACAAAGTAGACTTCATTTCTCCAGAATGTCCTCAATTCTTTGTGAATAAAACTACGACTTTCCAACCAACATCCATGCATTCTGTTTATTTTCCATCTGGCCTCAGTTGTCATCTGCCAGAACAC